TTTCAGGTTTCTACTCTGTCAGGCCCCACATGGGATCACATCAGGAACTGGCAAGAGCAGGACTTTAATTTCCTGCTGAAAGCCAGTATAACCGCAAAGTTCCAAAGTTCCCAGCTGATCACTGACAGAAACTTTTTCGACCTGTAACAGGTTCCCCCCCCCCCCCTCGAAGAACGCGTCGAATTCCCTGCGTGTTCTTCATCTGACGTATGCAAAGAAAATGATTATCAAGGTTCAAGGAATTCACCTTTTATTTTTTAGTCAAAATTTTTGGCTGCCCCTATCAAATTATTCTGGCCCTTTTTCGGCGCAAAATTAAGACCTTCTGAGGTTTTGCCTTTTTTTTTTGACTCAGTGTGAAGGCACTTAATCCAAGTCATTCGGCTTATCAAAATTTTTACCCTATTTGACAATACCCTCTTTCGGATGATTTAATTTCTTTTGAAGATGTGGAGGTAAAGGCGTAATTGCCTATGAACTCCGTAAATTGCACTTTCTTGATCCTTGATCCTTGCCATATGATTGGCTGATCACGGAAGCGAATTTTTCCTCTTTCCCGTTGTCCTAAGGATTTTATTTTACTGTTGATATCAATGTTCGCATGAAGTTGTAGAATGTAGCATGTAGCAGTTGGCCAGCAATTGTTTTAGTTTATCCTCGAGTTTTATCATGTGACGCTGTGTAATTATGATTTTTAATATTTTTATCGGGCTTTGCTACTCTTTGTTATCAGGTATGTACTATCATTAGAGAAAGACTGTTAATTTATTGAATTTCTCGACTAAAAAATGATAAAATTTTATATATCATTTGTTTTAGTTTAAATAATTTAACCCCTATCTTCATTAATGGATAAATGGGTAATACGTACACCAGGTACATCTTCAGCTAACAAATGAACAAATACTGAATGAGGAGTTCGCAAAATACTGAACTAAATGCCCGATCTAAAAAAATTAAGAAAATACAATGAGGAACTTTATTAAGTATGGTTTTACATTTTGTGTTGTTGATGATGAAGAACGTCCTGATATGTGTCATTTGCAAAGAAAAATTAGCAAATGAGAGCATGAAACCAGCTAAATTAAAAAGGCACCTGGAAACTAAACATAAAGAACTTCAAAATAAACATGCCGATTTTTTTCAAAGAACGAGCTGAAAATCTGAAAATTCAGAGGGGCACATTTAGAGAAAGTTTACAATACCTCAGAAAGCATTAGAGCTTCTTAGAAGTTTCTTATCTACTAGGAAAAACAATGAAACCCCATACAATTGGAGAATCCCTTATCCTTCCTGCAGCAACTAAGATGACATCAATTATGTATGGCGATAAATATAGGAAATGAACTAAAAACAATACCATTATCAAGAGATACAGTGTCTCGGCGGATTTCGAATGTCACGAAATATCGAGTCAGAAGTCATAAAACGCACATATAAAATTCATCTGCATATTTGCTTTACAACTGGACAAGACTAACGATATTACTAAAATTTCACAACTGAATTATTTACGTTAGGTTTATTTTTAATGAAGATATAACAGAAACGTTTTTATGTTGCAAAAAGTTTGGAAGGAAAAACAACTGGATAAAAAAAAAATATTCGAAGTAATAAATGAATATTTTGAAACAAAGTCCCTTACCTGGGCAAACTGTGTTGCGGTTTGAACCTGTGCGGCAGCATTAACAGGTTTGAATAAAGGGCTCAGAGGCTTAATTCAGAAGGTGGCGTCTCATATGGTATTTAATCACTGTGTGATTCATCGGCAAGCTCTTGTCGCAAAAGATATGGATGAAGAGTTGCACAACATATTACAAGACGCTGTTAGTTCAATTAACTACATTAAGTGCAACAGCCACAACAGCCGTCTCTTTTCAATACTTTGCAATGAGATGGGCTCAACGTATGAGAGATTACTGTTACACACCGAATTCAGATGGCTTTCACGTGCGAAAATACTACGACGGATATTTGATTTGAGAAATGAAGTGTACATGTTTTTAATCGAAAAGAAACATAGATTGGCAAGTTGTTATATCAATGAAGTTTGGCTAGGGAAAGCTGAGCTATTTAGTTGATATTTTCGAAAAACTTAACGAACTTAAATTTGAGCTTGTAGGGTGAAAAATTCAACTATCATAACTTCAGCCCGTAAAATTCAAGCTTTTAAGAATAAGCTTAGTCTCTGGCAAACTGAACTGAATAAAAAAAAACAACATCGACATGTTCCCTTGCTTTAACGATTTTATCAAGAAAATAATATAAATATATTTACATTTAAAAACATCATTTCCAATCACATTGAAAAGTTATAGGAAAATTTTTCGAGAAGATTCGAGGATTTTCCTGCAAAACGATCTTCGTTGGATTCGTGATCCATTTTCCTTTAACATATACAGTTCAACTCTTTCAAATTAGTGAGAAAAGAGCAATTGATAGATCTAAATTAGTGATTATACTCTTCGAAATCAATTTAAGACTCAGCCTTGCCACAAATTTTGGCCATCCGTGGAAAAACAATATCCCATTTTATGCAAGAATGCCATCCGAGTGTTAATACAATTTGCATCAACGTATTTATGTGAAACTGGATTTAGCAAACTAGTTTCAATAAAAACTAAATACCGCTCGCGTTTAAACCCTGAAGATGATATGCGAATTGCAATTAGCAACATACATCCAAACATCGATGAGATAATTAGAAACTTGCAGCCACGTACATCTCATTAAAAAGCAATTTACTGATTTTTGTGTTATACTCGTACAAAAAGTATTTTCCTAAAATTATAAATAAAATTAATATGAGTCAGATATGATGATGTTTTTATTCGATGAAACGAAAGAAATGCGCAAAATATACATCGTATTTGTGAACATTTATCTCTAGGGATCGCCAAAAATTTTCTCTCTACAAAAGGGGTCGCAGTCGAAAAATGTTTGCGCACCACTGCTCTAGAGCACAATTCCCCATTGAACAATCGACATGGCAGATTTACAAATATATTTTTAGGTATTAAAATGCATACTTTTATTTCTGCATCCTTAAACCTTTTATTCTTTTATGCTTTAGGGCATTTCGGTCTCATTTGGCAGGATTACGCCTTCTTTTTCGTCCAATCGAATTATTTGTTGCGATGTTTTCATTGTTATGATCAGATGACGAATCCGAATAAATACAAAATCGTTTTCTTGAACCGAGCTTTCTACCAATAATTTATGTTGAAGAATCATCCGATTGATTATTTTCCTTATTCAAATAATTCTTATTAACATCTTCCATCTTAATTTTATAACACTTTAATTTTTTTATTAAAAGCAACTCATAATAGAATTGAAATTTGTAAGTATTTGCTCTTCTGGCAGTTCGAATACAATTGATTTATAATTTAGTTTTCTCGTATTTGGTTTATATGAGCGATAACTGTTCTCGTCTGACGGAAACAACGAAATTAAACGAAAAACTTTTGTTGTTAACTTTCTTTATAATATGGTCACTTTTATCTGAGTGCATGTGTAATCTCCCTTTTATTTTTTGTTTATTATCTCTTTAAAATATATTGAACTCACATTCTCTACATTGATTATATATCCTTAATGAAAATGAATATTTAGACGAAATAATGCATAAGACAATTAACATTATATAACATTACAGAACTAATTCTAGAATGGCTACTATGTGGAAGGCTATCAAATACTGCATTTTTAAAGTAAATAATAGAAGCATATTTCTATCGTAGTTATATGAGAACTGAATAATATGAGATTATAGTATAGTTAGTTATACGAGAATATCTGAAATAATATTTTCACAAGCATACACATAATGTTTCAATACTTGGGTTTTCAAAGCACAAGAAGTTGTAAAATAATACACATCTAGAAATAAGTGTCAAAAGTAGCTAGTTATCTGATACATATGTAGATCATATGAGCAGGAATGTGATATAAAATCTGAATCATACTATATATAAAATCGGATCGAAAAGTAATTGCCCTGCGTTTTCGCAATAGACGAACATTACTCGACTTTTAATGCTAATTTAGCAACATAACAGAACCAAATTAGCAATCAAATACCAAACAAATATAAACACATCTTAATCCCCTTTTTCCCCATGTGTTTTCCTTTTCTCCCTAGCACCTATACCCCACATGATATTTACTTCCGTTGGCATAATGAAATGTCGCCCATATCCTTAAAGGAGCCGAGTTGGCGCAACCAAGGCTGTTCTCCGAACCTTATCCAAATCTTTGAATCCATGACAAAGCCTATGAAAAGTGCAATTTTGGATAAAAAGTCTTCATGTCTTTATTAACTATAAATAATTTGCTCCTAACATTAGTACCCATTTCTCTTAGAACTCTACCATTTTACAGAAAAATAGGAAAAGAAAATATATATGACAACTATCTTACTCCAAATTTGGTGTCGTCTTCTGTACTCCTGCCTCGTGAATTGCTTTCTCGATTCTATTGTAATGAATTCGAATCTTTTTATTCATTTTGTTAACTTATTATGTCTTTTTATTCTTTACAGAAACATTTTTAACAGTCCTATAGACATGATTGTGCATTATATTAATATTTCAATTAATTTTATTGACTTGTTGATTATCTATTCCTTAGCCTTTTGCTTGATTTAGGTTTTTTTAAAAATTGCTTCATGAAATATTTGCTTATATTGTTTACGTGTTTATAAATTTTGACTGTTTCTGTGCAGCCGTTTCGTTTGAATATATTTTTTTATTTAACAGTAAATATTGATTTCTCCATTATACGGTAGCTCACACTTATTTTCGGACACTTGTGATTTTCAGTTTTATTTCCGCGAAATATCTTTATATTTTTTCCGCGTATATTATTGATATTTTGTTCAAATTCTTTGTTTTTAAAAAAGTTACTGAAAACATTTTGGTATTAAAAAACATTATTAAAAAAATTCGGAAATTGAATTTGAACATTTATAACATTTATCTTTAAAACGTTGGCAATAGCGGTAGGAAAGAAAAAATGTAAACATTAATTTGAAAATCGTAGACGAAAGTTAAAGGTATGGATTCCGCTCCAAGATCTATTAAAGCGTCTAAAGTATGTCATCCGATTTTAAATTAGTTTTTAGGTTATAAATTTAATTATACTTAGGCTAATCTAGTTTTTTTTTCGTGTATGAAATAGCGGTACTTGTTCAAATTTCTTTTTTGTGCGTATAATTCTCCTTGATAAGTATCTATAATTTCGAAGTCCAAAGACATATTAATTTTTTTAATTTCCAATTCCAGATTGTAGGGTTATTACTTTATTTTCAATCATTTTATCAAAATTTGTACTTTTTTGATTACCCAAGAACCTTTGATCTTCCTTAAAGAACATTTTTTTTTACTTCAGTTTACGACGCCAAGCAAAATAAGGCTAAAGTGCAGAATCGCCCACTTATTTGGTTTGAGTTTGTTTGGCGCTTTTTACAAGAGTAAGAAGAATTGTATTTTTGTCAATTTTCTTTGACCTTTTTAAGTGAAAATAGGTCGATCTGTACATGGATAAAGTCAAGGGAATGCACGATCAAAGGTCGATGTGTACATGGATACCGAGTATGTGCAATTCTTAAAAACGCGCCAAGCAGTGGGTGATTTTGCACTTCCCCCGGAAAGTGAATCGGTTAATCTTTGGATTATGGTAACTTTGCAATTTTTTGGCGAAAATTTGGCGACGAACCCTGCTACAGCAACCTGCTAGTTGGGTTTATTTATTTTTTATTTTTTTTTTTTGACGCCATTTTATTTTTACGAAGTAAAGGTATGTTTCATTTTTTTTTTTTAACTCAACATTTTTTCCAATAATCTTGCTGCCGAAGTACGCTTATGCTAGAACTTTTATGGAACAAAAGTGCTTAATCATGACGAAGATTAGGTGCAAAATTGGGAGAAAGAGCAGAATCGCTCACTGTTTGCCGCGTTTTTAAGAATTCCACATACATGGTATCCATGTACAAGTCGACATATTTTCACTTAAAAAAACATCCCAGAATTGCACAAAAATGGCAATGCACACACTCTTGACTTTATCCATGTACACTGCTAAAGTCCTAGCTAGTAACCTTTATCGCCTTACCAAAATGTCGCCAAACTACCTGTTACCATATTCCAAAGATTAGCCAGTGAATCAAATATTTTCTTTGCATTTAGTTATAATTTTTTTTTCCAGCACATTTTTTTTTTTAAATATCGGTAAAAGTATATTTCATGGTACCCCTTGGCAATTTTTGGCAGTCGAAAAATCGCCGCTACACAAAGCCAAAATAACAAGACAAAGAATTGCACAAACTCGGTATCCATGTACACATCAACCTATTTTCACTTAACATCAGAGAATTGCACAAACTAGGCTAAATCGCCGCTACACAAAGAAAAACTAACAAGACCAAAAATTGCACAAACTCGGTATCTATGTATACATCAACCTATTTTCACTTTAAAAAAAAAATCCCAGAATTGCACAAAAATGGCATTGCGCACTCCCTTGACACTTTATCCATATACACATCGACCTATTTTCACTTAAAAAAACATCAGAGAATTGCACAAACTATGCTTTATGTAATGCCTTGAGTTTGTCCATGTACATATCGATATATTTTCATTTAAAAAGTCAAAAGAACATCCAATTCTACAGTAGAGGCAAACAAAAAATACATAATCTCAATAAACTACATTTTAAACCAAACAATAAAATAACATGAAAAAGGAAAAACCTGTTATGCAATTTAAACACTGCACAAAACAAATATCCACTTACTTTATTTAGAAATTCGTTCGTCTTCACTCTGTGGCACACAAAATTCCTTAACAGCATCCAAAAACTTTCTAAAATTATCTGAAGTAGAATTTGTGTATCGGCGTCAGCACATAAATTCACAAAAATAAGAGTAAAAAATATACTACGTAGTTCCGGACTGTCCGGAAAATGGCTGCTAATTAAACCTTCATTTACACGCCAGTCAATTAATGCACTTTGCTCCTTTCTTTCCAAATCATACAGAAACTTCAAATTAATCTTACTACATTCAGCCATTGTACCGTTTAAACAATGAAACAAGCAATGTACTTCCAAAGCAACACACACCATAAAAGCCCTTGCAAAGCATTCCATGGAATGCTGATTCAATGCTGATTCATCCCATGATTCAAAATTTCCCGTAATAATGCAAACGATTACGTCATATTAGGGTTTCCATAACATTCAACTATTCAGGTTACCATAAATGATACAACAACTTGGCGATAAATGAAACAACAACTTGGCGATAAATAAGACAACATCTTCGCGATAATACAAGGGGTATCCTAAAGTCAACTCTAACCAAAATATTTTTTGTCACATCCATAATGTGAGAAATCAGTAGGCTTTTAAAACAAAGGATTTTGTAGTTGCTAGCTGGATAGAATAACTAATTATTCTATGCATAGAAGGATCTAAGGTAAAAATACATTTGCGGGGGTACCCCTTGGCAAAAATTGGTGATTTTTGGCGGTACATGAATACCATTGCACAAACTCGGTATCCATGTACACATCAACCTATTTTCACTTTAAAAAAATTCAGAGAATTGCACAAACTTGGCATTGCACACTCCCTTTAATCATGTACACATCAACCTATTTTCACTTTAAAAAAATTCAGAGAATTGCACAAACTTGGCATTGCACACTCCCTTTAACCATGTACACATCAACCTATTTTCACTTTAAAAAAATTCAGAGAATTGCACAAACTTGGCATTGCACACTCCCTTTAACCATGTACACATCAACCTATTTTCACTTAAAAATACGTCAGAGAATTGCACACTCCCTTGACTTTGTCCATCGAACTCTATTCACTTAAAAAGTCAAAGGAACAGCCAGCAAAAAAATATATATAATCTCAATAAACTACATTTTAAATCAAACAATGAATTAACATAAAATAGGAAATTCATCTTTGTACTACACAAAGGAAATATCCACTTACCTTATTTACAAATTAACGTGTCTTCAGTTTAACAAAATTCCTTGGCATCGCCACTTAAATTCAGAAAATAAGAGTAAAAAATATCCTCCGTAGCACCGTTCTGACGTTCAACCATATGCATTTCCTGCTTACAAACAGGACACTTAATAATGGCTACTAAGTAGACCTTCGTTTACACACCAGTCAAGTAATGCTCTTTTCTCATTTCTTTCCAAATCACAAAGAAACTTCAAATTAATCATACCACATTCCGTCATTTTACTGTTTAAACGACAAAACGAGCAATATACAGTTAAAAGTCTTTAATCTGGACTCGTTGGGACTTCGGTGATTCCGGATTATCGATTTTTCCAGATTATAGATCATCAGTTTAAATCTGGTAAGATGGCATGCAGAAAATATACAATTAAAAATATGAAATCGTAATTTATGAAATAAAGAGCAATTGTGATCTAAAGGGTATCAAAATTTACAAAACAAAAGCTTAATATTTATTTGTTTACTTTATTAAACATTTCTTTCAACGTGCGCATGCGTAAAGCATACATTACGCATAGTGGAAATTAGAAAGTTGCAACCAGAAAACTATTTCATGCGTATTCGTGATATTTATAATGACGAAATTGATTTAAATCATATCAAAGTACTTCGAGATGAAACACTACATTTAGTAAGGAATTATAAGCCGAATAAAATAAAAACATCTGCCCTGAAGATGAGGATAGTGCTGACAGATCAACTTCCAGTTCATTTTGCACCACGACGTACCCCCCCTCCCCCACAGGGGAGCGTGAAATTGATAAACAGATTTCGGAATGGTTAGAGAAACAAATCACCTCTCTGTCACTTTCTTCATGCCTTTATCCATTTTTTGCAGCAACTTCACTTTTTGTTTAATGGACATCGAAAACATGTTTTCGCTTGTAGATCCTTTTGGCAGCTCCAGAATCAGGAAATTCTTTTTGACATAATCGAAAAGTTCAATCTTACTTTTATAAAATTGGTCTAACAGTCTGCGAAAAGTAATAAGCCGGATCCAATTCGAAGATTAAGGAACAACGCAATCTGAAATATTAACTGAAATAGGTAATCAGATAATTTTAGCTTAGCTTATACCGTCCATTATACATTAAATGTGCATGTGTAAACGTATTATATGCATACATAAATGCATATGCACATATGTAAATGCATATGCGCATGCATAAAGGTATTATAAATCATTCCGGATTATAGACGTCTGGATTAGACTTTTGACTGTACTTCCTAACCAACACACACACACAAGCCCTTATGAATTTACTACAATCATGCAACCGATTACATCATTAATAGGGTTTCCATAACATTCAACTACTCAGGCTACCATAAATTAAATCACAACTTGGCAATAAATGAAACAACAAGTTCGCGATAATACAAGGGATACCCTTGTCTCTACTCTAACCAGATCTAGCAATTCCTTTAAAGTATTAATATCTAACATCGCATGAACAATATATATAAAATATTTCCTTGAAGCAATTTATGTGTAACAAGCCAATCCCATACATTACCAACTTAAATTCTTTGGGCTTATTAGATCTCATACACTTATAAATACATCAGACAGTGCCAGATTAATGTATCTTAATATCATAATTTTTAATTATGTATACTGTTTCATAAGTATTACATAATTGTCATAATATGTGCCTTACAACTTTTTGCCTGTGTATCATATCAGTAGTCTATAGCAAATGGATTTTGTCTGCCAGTCAGACAACCTACTGTTAGCACAGCAGTTTCTCGTGTTAAGTGGAAGGGCAGCCCTTTTGAATTTCTGCAGTTTATTCTAAAATACAATCTTCAGAATAACGTTACAAATATTGCAATACTATTGCAAACTTTTCCTGCAATTTCTGTAAGTGCTGCTGGTTGTAACAAGAGATTTCTAAATAAAATCATTTAGAAATTATTTTAGAACAATAAATGCTTATTTTGCATTTAAATAGTTAAGAACTAGTATAAATGTTTATTTTGCATTTAAGAACTCTAAATGTTTATGTATTTAAGAATCTTTCTTTCATTGTGTCTACGTT